GCCCGGAGAGTGCTTGTAGCACTATGGGGCGGTATATAAGTCCAAAAATAAATAAATAAAAAAAAACAGCGTCTAGTGTGGCTGAGAAGGCCAATTCGAGAGTGTCCCTGATTTTGCTGGTTTGGGGACTGCCTCTTTGCCTCAGCCTGCTGGACAAGGGTCTCTTCAAATTGGGAAAGGCCATGATGCACCACCTGCCTCCAGGCTGAACACTCAGATGTCAAAGTTTCCCATCTGTTGAAATCCATTCCTAAGGCCTTCAGATCCCATTTGCAGATATCCCTGTATCACAGCTGTGCTCTCCCTCTGGGGTGATTTCCCTGCACTAATTCTCCATACGGGAGATCTTTTGGAATTTTATACATGTGAAAAATATGCATGTGGTTTGAATGTGGTTGTCACATAATTAGTTAAATGAAACTAAGTAGAAAAGAAATGAACATTATAATGCATACAACTAGTCTGCAATGCCTTTGAATCAAGATCTGGGATCTTCCCACATTCATGGAGATTGTCAGGGCTGCAATGAGGATTGCAATGTTTATTTATACAGTATTTGTCTTCTACATTTACAACCTGCCCTTTCTCCAAGGAACTCAGTTGAAGCCTACATGGACTTTCTCCATAGTCTTACTCTGATATTGGCCAAGCCAAGTTAATACAGAGGTTGGTATTTTGTGTACTATAATTCCTAGCTTGCCCCAACCAGCATAGTGACCTTGTTGGATGAGGAGATCAAGGGTTGTAATCCAAAAACCCAACTTTACCCATAGAAATTACCCAAGGAAACAGAACTATGCTAGGATTCTTTCAGATTTTACTTCATTAGTGATTTCTAAGCAGAGATTGCCATCTGTCAGAAGGGTGCTTTAGCTGTGGATCTCCTGCTTTGTCATGGAGTCAGACTGAGTGGCCCTTGGGTCCTTACAGCTGTACAATTCTATGATTTTACAAACCTTGAAAGTACCTGTATTCCACAAAATCTAGAGGTTAAAGCAAGCATCACTACCTAATGTGCTAATATACTACTACTTTATCTGGATGTATACATATGTGAATGGATCTTCACATGATGATCAGGGATGGGGCTTCATCACTGGCCTCACCCCAAGCTTTCTTGGTAGAATCACCTATTGACCTGCTCTTGTTTGAGAGCATCTTTCCTTTTGCACAGGAGAATCTGAAACACCTCTGACATATCCCTCTATTTCAAACTTCCTGTTTTCCCTCACCTGTCAAATATTCACAGCCACTGGCACACAGGTAATGAGCTAGCCCCATCTCAGCATGAGTTAAATGTACTCTTTCAGTCTAGTGCACTCTCTATTTTACCCTAATCAGCACCTGCAATTGAAAATTCATTGAATTCCTCTACCATGCAATCCTTGTCTGGACAATGTCATTTGCACACATTACAAGGCTCAGTCCTTTTGGGAAATGGGGTTATCAAGCAGCGAATTGCAAAGGCTGCAAAGGTCACATCTAGGAGGCTGGCTCTCTTATTTGCTGACTGAAGATAAATAAATAGTTTATGTGTGTGACATCAAGAGTATCTAGACCCTGGAAATATCAGCAAGGAGCAGAGAACAAGTGCTTTAGGTAGATAAGGATATTTTATCTTTCATAGAACAGGAAATTTGAGTAGCAATCTTAAATACACTAAGGAGTGTCTCTTAACTTAGCTGGGCTTAGTCTTACCTCTGGGCTAAGATGCTCAGAATTGCATTGAACTCCCATGTGGGATTTTAGGACACCACAGACTCACTGGGCAGAGTGAAATCCACAGGGAACCTGTGTGAAGGATGATTCAGTGTCCATTCAGCCTCTCAAACAAAACAGATTTGCTGAAACTAACCTTAAAGATTTCTGAATATAGTAGTAGTTTAAATGATGAAGTTTGAAATCCATGTGCATGTAACTTAACTGCCATACCTAAGTGAACAATACATGTTTCTCATGAAAGGGGTTGGGTGATGAAAAACACAAAACATCACTATCATTCTGTGTACTCACCCATGGGTTAGTTTCCGACAACCCTTGGAATTATTAGAAAAATGGTGCCAGATGAAGGCAACATTGTAGTTCATTGAAGTTGTTTGTTTATGTTATATGCTGTTGAGTTGCTAGCTGCTCAAAAGTACTTTCCAGGGGAACCTGATTTGGGGGATATAACTTGGACACCCCAAATCCAATCTTTGCCAAATGTGGAGGGGGTGGGTAAGAGAGTCAACTGAAGAACCTCTGTGTGTTTGACATCTCTAACTCATGCAAGAGGCATTCTGCCATTCACAGAACTCCTGAATTGCTGAAACTGCAAATTTTGCCAGAAAGTTCATGAAAGTTCACAGTTCATGAAAAGCAACGAACCATCATGAACTGCCATTTTCCTGGTTCATGCCCATCTCTAATGAAGATCCTTTGACACATTTAACACATAATGAACATGTATATGCAGCTAAATAAGATACCTCACTTTGTCTTTATTACTCCTTACGATGCAAGTTTCCTTTTGGCCCCTCTCTTTTCCATCCATGCGCCTATGTGAGCAAATACATCCACAACACAACTGCTGCATAGTACGTTCCTCCTTTCTGACAAACTGAAGGGATGGTATTTTCAAGTAGATTGCATTTTACTAATGCCTACTGTCAGACATACTCCAATGGGAGGCCATCACATAGCCGTGTGACTAAGTACATTTAACACAAATGGAAAGGAGTTGGCAGAAAAATCCCCTAAAGGAGCAAATGTTCACATTTCCCCCCTGTTTTAGAAGATACGACACCCAGAAAAATCAATAGCAGAGATTATGACTAAGAGGGGCTTTGGTATGATCTACATAATGCAAGCCTGATAAAAATCACACAGAATGTCTAAATTAAATTCTGGCTGGGCAAGAGTCAGTCTCCCATTCCTTCTGAGCAAAGAATTAGAATGTTACAAAGTGGGAGGCCTCCCTGGATAGGAATGAAAAGTTCATTGAGAAAAAAAGTCTGGTGCCTAATTTTGCAGACAGCATACCTGCCCTTTGGAACACCCTTTTCAATTACAGATACAGTTCCATTCCTGTGCACTGATCTTCTGTTTGCTTGCATAGGCAGATGGGCCTGGCAGAGTACTCACCCCTGTAAATCTACAGCATATCACTAACCCCTTTCTAGCTGATGCAGCCTCTGCTTCCTCAATCAACTAAACTTGAATACTATGGCAAATGGAACTATAACCTCAATGAACCTATTGAAAGCCACAGATTGACTCAGTGGCAGAACAGAGAACAGAGCTCAGATGTTCATAATATGGAGAGAGCGAAATATGAAATGGACCAGCCGTCCCAAACTGCACCTTAAGCAAATTTGTGGAAAACCAGTTGGTCATGCAAATTGATGTCCTGCACCATTTGTCCTGACTATCGCTCTGGTGTATAAAACCTGCAGCTTGTGGCAGGCTTTCTTTCAGCCTTGACAGAACACTTCTCTTTCACTCTCCAGGCTTAGGCTTCTGATACACTTGCTATTGCACTGGCTTCTACCTCCTTAGCTGCTGAGAGCTCAGCTCCTCTGCATATGCTGTCCATCTTACGAACGCAGCTGGCATTTTTAATTTAGTCAATTTTCAGCTCTGCTTGTTCCTGTGAGATGTGTGTCAGGGCTGTTTTCCCATTTAATATGTGAACACATTGAGTCATTCTGATTTTTCACAAGAACGTGACTCTCCCTGCCTGTCTTGTTAGAAAAAGATGCTGAGGAATTGAATTTCTGGGAGATTTGTGTTTTGTTTTGGTTTTTTACTCTGTCTTCCGCTTAACTAACATATGTGAGCTTGCACGCTGGATTTTGTTTGCTCACCTGATAATGAATCAGGGTGTTTAGCCGCTTCCAGTCACCCTCAATCTTGGTGGTGATGTCTTCATCCTGAAGGACCACACGTGCTATACGGCCCTGGCGCCACTCTGCAAAGGAAATAGCAGCATGAAAGGCAATCAAGGTTAGATGCAGAGATAACTTAGTGGGAGGTGGGGACTCTGAAATACTGATCTTCTAACAAAGGAAGAATAGATTAAATTCTCTTTCTATGTATTTCTGAGCAAATGCAATTGATGCCTTTAATGTAGGCTGGCTTCATGCTGCTGAGATGAAACAAATCACAAGATTACAGACGCTGGCTTGTTTTGTCCCACCTGTATGGAGAACGTACTGAAAGGGTCCTGTAGAAGACCTCTTTATGAGTTAAGATCTAAAGGTCATAATGAGTTAATATCCAGATACATTTTAGAAGGAATAAAGAGGAAGGACTTCAAAGAAAACAGCTCTAAACATTGATTCAGCCTCTAGTGATGCCACAAAACCAACATTTATATTATAGATGCTATCAGGGAACTATATAGTATGCTGTAAGTTCCTGTACAGTTGTTCTCAGCAAGTAAAGTTCTTTTTGTAATAAATTCTTCAAAGACATGTGTCATCTACAAATCTGTTGGAGGCATTATCGTACCGAGGTCCATATCAACAGCTCGTGGTCTTTGGGAGTATGGAACATTTTTATACACTGCATCCAGAATCTTCTCTTTGACCTGAGTGATCGTGTCACAGTTCAGCACTTTCACAGGAATCTCAGGACTGTTCTCATTGTCAGGATTCACACAGTTCAAGATCTGGATAGGAGATGTAATGAGAATATTAAGTAGATTTCAGAAAAAGCAAGGAAATATCCATCTGCATACAACTAAATTAATTTGCATTATCAGCTGAAGACATTTTTCACAATGAAGTTCCAACTGAAATAGTTCACAATGCTGATTATTTTTAAATGGGATGATAATTTCTGATTATACAGGAAGAATGTGGAATTGTAGACCTGGATGTAGATGAAGATAAAAGCCTATACAATTCAGCAAACATGTATGTACGAAATTGGGGATGAATAAAACACCAACTACAATATGCATTGAATATTGCTCATTCATCGGATATTTGTCCCTTCTTATTTGTGTGATCTAGAGACCTCCACAAATATGAAGGGGTGAATACACACCCTTTATATTCGTCTATTCGACTTTCTGCTTATTCCTGCATGGATCAGCTGATTCGTGTGAGCATAGGCAGAGAGAGGAAGCCGGACTGAAGAGAATCGGCCCTACTGTCATTCCAAAAAGTCTGTGTATGTTGGGAGGGGGGAGGGATTCCCTTCAGTCAGGCGTCCATTATCTGCCTATGCTTACACAGATCAGTTGGGTCACCAGGGGCAAATTTGTGGGTCATCAACCTTGATGACCCACGAACCAAGGCAAACCATCATTTTGGTGTTTTGTCCCCATCTCTTCTTGTGACTGCGCCTTGCACAAATGGGTGAAACATAGTCAGGTGGATCAAGTGCTTCAGACATACAGACAATAAACTATGACACCTCAGCAGCCACTATTCTCTACATCAGTGTTCCCCAGCCTTGGGCCTCCAGATGTTCTTGGACTACAACTCCCAGAAGCCTTCACCACCACCTCTGCTGGCCATGATTTCTGGGAGTTGAAGTCCAAGAACATCTGGAGGCCCAAGGTTGGGGACCACTGCTCTAAATGATGTTGAGATTCATTGTAGTGCTGATATAGGTAGCTGCCTATTTCAGCTCTTGCTTATTATCCTCTCTAAAATTTGTGTTGTGGAGAGGGGGACAACAAAGGAAGAAAATAAAAAGTGCCCATTGGTGGAAAAGCAGAATACAAATGTGACTACTATTAGACAAAGAGAGTGTGGAGTTCACTAAGACTCTCTTCTACTGCCAGGAGGAAACTGATACTCTTTTTCAAAAGGAGATGCAGTAGGATGTTATGCTGTACTAGGTGGTCCAAAAAGGAAGCAATTGAGAAAAGAACCAAATTGGTACGTCTTCCAGGAGACCTGGGAAGTCTGCCTCCTTCAGCTACTATTAGTATGTAGAGCTGCAAGGAAGGTATTATAATTGAAAATGATGGACTGACTTGAAAACCAAAGCATTGATTCTCTAGTTTCATTCATAGGGAGGCTCCAGCCAGGCACACCTTGCCAGCCTGGGTCTCTTGTATTATCTAAGGATATGTGATCAAAACGCCGATTAAATGATGATTAACAATGAAAATGGCCCACTGCTATACAGATGCTATGGAATATGGGAAAATGTGCCACCTAGCTTCTTAGCTTAATCCATGTACTGCCCTGGGTAATATGGGAAAGAGCCAATGGTATACTTTGCAATCCAGTGCCAATGAAATTGGGACTGTCATCCCTTTTCTCTCCCACTGCAGGGATTTAAGGCTGCAATAACCCACTGCAAAAGATTCTTAGCCTTCTTTTTCAAGTATTTAGGATAAAAAATGGGTTGCAGGAAGGAGGAGTCACCTCAATCCAGTGGAAGGACACAATTGAATCCTGGCCTGAATACTCTGGATGTTTCTGATGATAGTTGGCTGCTGATGCTAGCATAAACTGTTCAAAGAAGGCACCCACTCACTAGAGTTTTGTACTCAATCTGCTGCCGGATCAGCTTGTCCTCACTCAGGGAATAACGTGCCTCCCCCGTAATAGCATCAATTGGGCCTTTTTCCATCTGTTGCTTGATGGCACAGTACAGCATGAAGAGCGGCTCTCCAGCACATTCCTGTTGGACACAAAACACAACAGAATTCACATGCCAATGGAAACAGAACTTAAGTAGACAAAGAGAGGCACACATGTTGAATGTTATAGTGACTGTGCTACTCTGCTGTCATTTCCCCCTTAAATACATCTAGCCTCATAAGCAGTGTAGGCTGAACTGAACTCACTTGTCCTTCCCCAAGATTGCGCAATGTGCTATAAAATTGTGCACTATCTAAAAAAAAGATGTGTCCCTGTTTTTTGCAGCATTTAGTGAAGCAAAATTGAAGTATGGATTTGAGGATTCATCAACCATACCAGATAGACTTAATTTTATAATTCCTGCAGTTATAAGATTAATTGATTGTGGAAGTCAGTTGTACTAAAGTAAGTCCACCATGTTGTTTCCTTTACTAGATGAGTCTTGCCAGATAATGTGCAAATATGCTTTGGTGGATAAGCAGTGTGTGTAATGGATAGAGTGCTGGACTGGGACTCAGGAGACCTGGGTTCAAATTCCCCTTAAACATGGAACCATTTTTAACCATTTGTCTCTTATGTGTTCTGTGCCGTCAAGTTAGGAACAACTTACTTATTAAAGCCTAATAAGGCTTTCAAAGTAAGTGGGATATTTAAGGAGTGGTTTTACCAGTTCCACTCCTCCAATCCATTTCCAAGGTGGAGCAGGGATTCAAACCCAGTTCTCCTAGTCCATCACTCTAGTCATTGCACGACACTGGGAATTTCTCTCTTTCCCATTATTTAAAACTGTGGCCAGTTCCAGCCTGTTCTCTCCACCTTTCTCTTTCATGCTTCCATCTTCAGTCCTCTTTCCAAATCTTTCCTGCCAAAATTATTTACATTTTCTATAATGCCCCCTTCAAATGCTTCTATGCATTCCTCTTTTGCTTCCCTATATGACTGAGCCTACCCTTCCTTGCCGTCTACTTATGTAGGAAATGCCTCTCATCATGTATGCATCACTGTCATTTATTTCTCTCCCTATAACTCCTTCCTCAAAACCCATCTCCACCAACTTTTAACATGTGGATTTGCCCACATTAACTCCTATGCTTGTTTTTCCCTGCTCACTCTGTTTCCTTCAATTTTTGTTTTAGATTGTATGCTCCCTTGGGATGGGCACCTGACTATTTTTTTAATTCACCAAAGTTTGCTAGGTGATATCTGATATGCGATCTATAATACCTATGCAAATTCTAGTGAAAAGTTGTATGCAAAGAATTATAAGCCACAGAGCATTTCATGAGTCTTTGCTATAAATTGGGTATTAGTCCAAGGACTAGTATTAAGAGTAGAAACATTCTATGCACATTCACAGTGGTGGTTAGTTTGTTGGGATCTTTCTCTGGGGGAGTCTGTTGTTTAGCACCTCCTCTGGCCTGGTGAATATCAGCTTTCCTGTGAGAAGAATGGAAAACCTTTGGTCTCCTTCTGTGCTGTATTATAAAATACAGCCATCACAATCCTGTTGGTGGCTTATTTAGCTCCGCAGCTTGCAATCTGTGAGCCACTCCTGGCAGGAGGAAAGAGGATAAGCCTCACTGCAAGATTGCTCACAGACTGTGAGTTCTGGAGTGATAGGAAGGGAGCATGGAGCATGCAACAACAGCAGAAGGTGAGTGGATGGTTCGGCCCCACGAGGCTGGACCCTTGTTATGTCCACCTGTGCAGAGGTAGATACCCCCATCTCTACCAACCAAATTCACCCACTCCATTCAAGTAGAGGGGATTGATGCAACCAGCCACAGAACAACCCCAGAAATCACATTCCAGTATCCCATTCTGGGCATTAATTTTTATTAAGAAATTCATATTGCAGCCTGTTCTATTCCATTCTGGCTCTTACCTATGCCCTGGAACAAATGAAATAAGAAGAGATTTGAAGTAAGTTTTTTACCTTAAGAAATTTGTGGAGCAGGAAAGCAAACCAATTCGTCAACATTTTCTCAGCTACTGATTCAGTCCTGAGAAGAAATTAGAACATGCTTTATTAACCCCAAAGGAATAACAAATGTCTACTCTCTGCTCAGAAACACTAACCATTTGACTAAGCATTACATACTGAGAGTGGCTGTAAAATAATGCATTTCTTATGTTTAAATTTTCTCTCCTTCATAAACTAAGTACAATATCTGACTACCAGACTTCACTCTCATTACTTATTTTTCTACTGTAGATCATTGGATCAGAAGACTGGTTGCCAGGAGATCAATACAATACAGGTAAAAATAACATCATTGTGAAGAAGAATCCAAATGACATGGCATTCTGTCACATTATGTGATATCCTGTGTATCTCCTGAATTTTAATTTTTCATTTTTTTCCTGCTTCTTGATCAAACAGTCAACAAGGACCACAACAGCAGATGATACACTAATCAACAGAAAGACATTTACTTCAAGAAAAATACTTGCTGCAAAGATAAACATAGCCCCCACCATATAATCAGAGGGCAAAACTGAGTGTGAACTAACATGGGACTCTCATTGTAAAGCCTATATCTAGTACTTTATATATACTGCATGCTATTCCCTATCATGCTATAAACAACATTTTTCTAAAAGAGAGAGAATATACACAGACTCCTATTCAGAAGTCCCATTGTGTCTAGTAGATCTCATTTTAGGAAAGCATACACAGGGTTAGATCTCTAGTTTGGACATGCTTAATGGCTTTTTGTTTGTCTAGCAACTGATTATAGTAAAGAGCACTTTAGTGAAGGCACAGACTTGGTTCATTTATTTCTTCAATTGAGAGAGCTAATCACATGTGAAGAAGCTTTCATACATGCACTAGACCTTTCAATGAAGTGGATGAGAACGCCAGTATATACATGAGACTTGTAGGTGTCAAAATACTAAAATATTCACAACTTTAGGCTGGGACTCTTAATTTTGTAACCAAGTAGTCATGATCACAAATCCTGACCCTCTGAGCAATAGAGACTTGTTCCTATGTGTCATCAAGTTGCTTCCCATTTATGGTTACACTGTGAAGTAACAGCCTCCAATTGTATCATTCACAGCTTTACTCAGGTCTTGCAAGGTTTGAAGGCCGTGATACCTTTATTGAGTCAATCCATTTCATTTTGGATCTTCCTCTTTTCTTACTGCCTTCTACTTTTCTTAGCATTATTGTCTTTTCTAGTGAGTTACTTCTCATGATATGTTCAAAGCACAATAGCCATATTTTAGTTTCTAGTGAAAGTTCAGGTTTGATTTGATCTAGAACCTGATTTGTCTTTCTGGTGGCCTGCAGTATTTGTAAAGCTTTCCTGCAGACCCACATTTTTAATGATTCCCCCCCCTTTCTTCTGTCAGATTTCTTCATTAGCCAGTTTTTACTTCTGGAATACCACAGCATAAGTAACTAGAGATTTGTAAATCTTCACATTTTGCCCTTGCACGTAAAGACTTCACCATTAGTCAAGAGCAATACTGGCAAGAACATGTTAATTGTAACATTGTACTGGTGAGAACTATGATGAGATTTCTACCACTTTTGATATACTTGCTACATTGGTGAGAATGATACTTTGTACAAAATCCCTACCTGTTTTGAGAGAAAAATGCCCATTTTCATGTAGAATGTCACAGTTCACACAATTGCCCAAATTATGTGTCTTGCCTAAAATCAGTCTGGCTGCTGCTTTATTTGGGAACCTGGAACACTAGATGGGTATATTTCTTAACAATTAGCCAGTCCTTCTATGCTTGTATGTGTGTGCCCTGCTTCACAAAGAGATTGGACACCAGGGACATTTTATACAAATTACATAGATCTGGAAGGGAAAAAAATCTGCACTTTGTCTCGCTGTTGGCCAGAGATGAAGTTTCTCACAGGGCTTAAAAATTCCCCATTGAGGTGTCTCATTGTATTGAGACAGCTTAAATTAAAAAGAATGAGGAATTTAACATGCCTTTTTCCCATCATTAACACAGACCAAGACATATACCTTGCAATTCTTCCATCAAACTCTCAACTTTGGATTGCTCTTTTAGACAGAGATGATATATACTCCTTTGGTTTGTCATAGGTATGGGAGTTTGTTTGAATTAACAGAGTACTAAATGCACATGTGGTGCAAACCAAGTGTTCATTTAAGCAGATCCAGGGAAAAACTTGCCTCGACCCAATTAAATTTAGTTAAGACAATATTGTGCTTGGAAATCAACTCCACGGAACAAAGTGAGACTTGCTTTTAAATCAATATGCAAGATCAAGTTCTCTTAGAAATAATGGAAGGAGTTAATACTGTATTGGATCCTTTCTTTGGATACATATATGCAGCCTCATCCTCTGCTTGTTTTCTCTGAATTATGCCTGTGTTCATTCTAACCAGAGCTTGGAAAAGTTACTTTTTGTATCATAACTCCCACCCACCCAAAATGAAGCAACCAAGAGTCAGCTGTTCTCCATAGAGTTGTAAGCTCCCACCCACTCCACCCTGGTGTGGCCAGTGGAATGAGTGACAACGTGTACATCTCATACCTGCTGTGTGAGCAACAGTATCCACAGTTTAACAACTCTTAAACAACAGCCTCTGGTGATGGAAAAAAAAACATATATAGAAAATTGTAAGCCACAAAACTTCTCATGAGTCATGGCCAGTCAAGAATGGGATATTTTTCCAAGGACTAGTGTTAAAATTAGAAACATTCTAGACATGCATTAACCAGTTATTGCCAAAGAGATGTTAGTACACGGGACTCTTCATCTCTGGAGTCTCCATCTCAATTCATTCAGGTATCAAGTTTATGACTGGGGTGGCCAATGAGCAGGTCATATTTTCTCAGCCTAACCTACCTCACAGAGGTTGTCGTAATGCTAGAATGCCCCAGTGAGCTCCTGGGGGGGACAAATGGAATATTTAATCATAGTAATTGACAGAAAATGTCAATTTCTTGCTACCAGGATCTTTGGAAATGGGACTGGAATGTGTTCCAAAAAAGAACAAGGAAAGATTGACTTTAATGCTATAAATTATGAATGCTGAATGGTCTCAATCTGGATTTTTGATCAGGTGGAATTGGAAGTCAATCTGGAGCCTTTGTCCCCTTGCCCTGTCCCTCTCACTCTTTCAGCAAGAGAAGTAAATGAAGATTGCCTATGAACTGAACACAATAAAGCCCAGCTGACAGCCCATCACCATCCCCTCTTAAGGGGGATGCCTTGTGGAGCTGCAACTCCCTACATATGGTGCAAATTATACCCTGTGGCTCAGTAAATCACTGGAATTTGTAGCTGGTGGCAATCAAGGACAGCAGAGTGACAATGGCAGGGGAAATTGCTAGTTTTCTCATGGGCCACACCCAGCCCAGTTCCTCACAATGTATCAAAGATTATCTCTAATTTAAATACAATGGTTCTTAATGATAGTTTTTAATGGCTGCTCAGTAGGATTGCTGATTCCTCCTTAGAAGGCACATGGACCAGGAAATATGGATGATTCTGAATGAAAGGCAGACAGTTCCTGCTCCTACTCTGTGCTGTTGAGCCAGAGTGTTCACATTCTCACACAGCAGCTGCACTGTTGTGCTGGCCAAAACTAAATGAATCTTTTACAAGGCAAGCTGATGATATGCTCTATATTGTAGCTCCTATAGACTTTCTTCCACAGGACGGACATTGGTCAGCAGCAATGCCTATTCATCTGTTCCAGCCACAATATAACAAACAGCATCACTATCCATCATTCAATTGCACATTATCTTGAGATGGTATTCTAGGATGCATTTTTCTCAAAGGATGAAAAAGAAGGCAGTAATGTAGTAGAAGCCCTGCTTGGCAGATTAACTGGTCACCAGAGAGCATGGAAATGCTTTCTCTAACTTGATTATGTATCCATTTACCACAATCAATATGGCAATTTTTCAGTGAAAGTGTCATGTTTAGACCCTTACTACTTGATGGGTGAATCTTAGAGTCTAAAGATTATTCTTTCTCCATTTATTTTTAAAACCCTATGCACTGCTTTGTTGTTGTTGCTTTTAAATCAAATGATTGACAAACTAAAATGCAATACAGTCAATTGAAAAAAAAAAACACCCAAGAACAAACCAATAGTTTGGTTAGCTGGCAATGCTAGTATTAATAAGCAAACAATTTTTCTCCAGCTCACCACATTAAGAATCAAAGTAACCATAAAGAGACTATCATTCTACAGTACATGGGTGCCATAACAGAGACATTCTTGTTCCAGAAAAAAACACACATGAATAGGCTACAGTTCAAAAAGCAATATGGCCTTTTTATCTTTAAGTGATTTTTTATTTTTAATATGCTTTAATTGTTTTAAAATACTTATATGTCCTAATAGAACTGGTTTAATTTCATATTATATTTTTTGCTTTTAATATTGTCCATTTTAATACTATAAGCTGCTTGAATCCTGTTGGGGAGAAAGGCAGGGCACAAATAAGGAAGGAAGGAAGGAAGGAAGGAAGGAAGGAATGGTAACGTTCTCCTTAGAATGTAGAGGCCAGAGTAATCACTGGACTAGTAGACAACCTCTTGGATAACCTAGTCTTTCACTGTTCAGGGCCTTATAAACCAATACTAACTAGCACATGGCTGAGTAGCTAATTGGCAGTCAGCTTTAGAGCTTCCAGCACAAGCCATATAAATATCCATTCACAGTGCAATCTTACTGTTCTACTCTGTAAGAGCAGGTTACAGGCCAGTCTCAATGGCAGCCTGATATTAAGCACATTGCAATATTCTTGGGGCTATCAAAGGATGCTTCAGCGTGGCTGGGCTGTACTAAATCAGAGAACTGTAGAGCTGCAAGGGACTCAATGGATCATCAAGTCCAGCCTCCTGCTAATTTAGGAAAAGCATTCCTGCCAGGTGACCATCCAACATCTGCTTAAAAACCTCCAGTCAAGGATTGAATACCACACTCCAAAACAGCCATTGCTGAACAGCTCTCATTGTTAGGATGTTCTTCCTAATATTTAGTCT